AGAGAGAGTGCACGCACATACACTCAGCATGCACACACGCACACACACACAGAGTGCACGCACACACACACAGAGTGCACGCACATACACACAGAGTGCACGCACATACACTCACACAGAGCATGCACGAGGATACACACTCTCACTAAGCCTACATACACATGCTCACACACCCCATGAACAGACACGTACTTACACACACACAAACACACAGAGTGCACACACACGCTCTTACACAGGATGCATACACACACATGTTCACACACAGGACACATGCAAGCTCACATACAGTGTACACACACATACTTACAAACACAGTGCACACACACTCTTACAGAGTGCACACACCATACACATGCACACATGTGCTCACACAGTGAACACACACATACTCACAACATGCACACACACATGCTCACACACAGGTTGGACACACAGAGTGTGCATGCATACATGTGCTCACACACAGAGTAAACACACAGCACACAGCATTCATGTTCACACACAGATTGGATACACACAGCATGCATACACACAGGTCTCTCACACACATGCTCACATACAGCGTGCACATACACAGCACACATGGACATGTCTGCTTATAAATTCATGACCACATATGGGCGTGCACACCTGGACTGTGGGAGACCCAGATCCTGAGGTCAGGATCTTCACTGCTGACAGTGACGTGTGCAAAGTCAAGTGTGTGATGTGTGTTACAGTCCTGTGCACAGTGCTTCTGTACATGCATGCTGCATGGTGTCTGAGTTGGTGGGTTCAGGGCTCGGTGTGGACCAAGAGGTAGGCAGTCAAACCTGCCAGCAGCGGCTCAGTGGGGACCTGCCCTCTAGAGACCGTTGTTGTTAGGTGTAACTCACAGTGATGAGGACCACAGAGGAGACCCTCCCAGGTCCTGCACGCTCCTCCCTTTGCCGCCATGTGGCCTGAGCTTTGCACATGCAGGAGTAGAGCAGGGGCTGATCTCAGCGTCTCCGCAGCCCGACTCCACGGTGCCAAAGGAAACTGAGGCCTAGTGGGAGGAGGCCTGGTTCAGCCATTTTAGAAACTTGCATTGGGGACTGAGAGAGCTCTGGGCCTCAGCCTTCCTGGCCAGGTGTGGAAAGGCAGGCAGGTGAGTGGCCCAGCTGGTGGGCAGATGCCACAGGACACAGTCGATGTCTTGTGGGAGAGCAAGGCCCCAGGTAACCCCTGGGGAAGTCAGTGAAGCCACAGGCCAGTCAGTCTGGCTTTCAGAGGGGAAACTGAGGCACAGAACAGCCACCAGGGTCAGGCTGGTCGCAGAGTGCTCTTACCTGGCCCATCTTCTCCCACCTCCAATGCTGCCTTGATGACAGGAAGAAGCCTGGCCCAGCAGTGGCTGTGTCCCCACCCTGGCCTCACCCTGCCCCAACCCCCGAGGAACAATTTACCTTTAGGAGCTGCTCCAAGATATTAATTAAGATAAATCTACCTCAATTTTGAGATTCTCTTATTGTGTAATTTATCAAAATTATGTTAATTATTTCTGTAGGGCAGCAAAATGATTACCTCTTTTGTGTCTGATTTGTATTAATATTCATAATTTAATAATTCAGCGTCCCGCCATCTGGCCCGGGAGCAGGGCCTCTCCTCCCTCTGTCCGAGCCAGGCTGGCGCTGCCATCCCTTGCGGGGTCCCTGGGGCACCCAGCCCCCACGCCTCCCCATGGCTCAGCCGGGGGACACTGGCGCCGCGGCCCAGGCCCACCCTCTCCCACTCCCCATGGACCCCCACCCTGTGGCCGGCGTCCAGGTACGCGCCCAGGTACGCACTCTGCACACCCTGCTTGGCAGGTGAGCAAGCTGAACTGACATTTTCCACACTCTGCGAGTTTTACACTGTAATTTGACATAATTAATGCCTACATTACTGCTGATAATTTAGCTAGTTAATTAAACTCGGAGGAGATAATTAAGGAAGGGCTACTGCTTGGATTGCTAATTGTTTTTGTCATTATTTCAGGGGGCCGACAGCTGCCGGCTGAGTCATCCTGTTTTGTCAGCTGATGGGTCATGTGATACAGGGGTCCCCCAAGGCCCCCCACGTCCAGGGAGGGAGGCATGCAGCCGGCTACCTGGCTGCCTCCTGGAGCCCAGCCAAGCACAGTGGATGCTGGTGGCCTGGGCCTCTCAGCTCCGCCTGTGATGCTGACAGCCACCCTCAGGGCCAGCCTGGGGTCACAAGGAGGTCAGCCAAAGGGAGCAGAGGGAGGAAGGGGTACCCTCAACCCCAGCAGCCAGGCCCCAAGAGATCACGGCTGTTGAGCAGTGGTCAGATATGAGGTCGGGCTTCCTGGGCTGGCTGGAAGTCAAAATGTGTTATTCTATGGGGGGAGAAAAATGACAAAGAGACTAGGAAGAGAGAGATAAACAAATCACATGAGAGAGAGACAGACGGAGAGTGTCAGAAACACAGAAAGACAGAAACAGAGACAGACACAGAGCAAGACCCGCGGACAGAAAGAGATACAAAGACAGTGAGTGGGACAGGCAAACAGACAATGAGAGAGACAGGGAGCGGCTGTCCCTCCACCCTTCCAAGCATGATGTCCCTCTCCAAAGACTGGTTCCTCCTTGCAACATGCCCAAAGTATATCAGATGAAGCCTCAGAATCCTTGCCTCCAAGGGACAGCCTGGCTTCACCCTCTCCAGGACGAACCTGTTTATTAGTCTCCTGGCAGTCCATGGTATATTCAATACTCTTCTCCAGCACCACAACTCAAAAGCATCAATTCTCTTTCTATCATTCCTAGTCATTGTCCAGCTCTCTGACGCATAGCAAGTAATTGTGAAGACTATTACCTGGATCAAGTGCACCTTAGTCTCCAGACTGACATCGTTGCTTTTCAGTACTCTGGAGAGCTCTCTGACCACCGACTTTCCCAATGCAATTTGTCTCTTGATTTCCTGGCTGCTAGTACCAAGATTATGATTGTGGAACCAAGCAAACTAAAGCTGTTAACAATCTCAATTTCTTCACCATCTATCATAATGCTGCCAATCGGCCCAGTGGGACAATTTTTGTCTTCTTGATGTTGAGCTTTAATCTGTATTGGCAGCTGCAGTCCTTGACCTTTTGCAGCAAGAGCTTCAGGTCCTTCTCCGTTTCAACAAGCAGAGTTTTGTCATCTTTATAACACAGATTGCTGATGAGTCTTCTTCCAGTCCTGATGCCACATTCCTCCTCATAGAGCCCAGCCTCCCAGATAATCTGTTCTGCATATACATGGAAAAGGGATGGACATAAGACACATCCCTGGCGTATGCCCTTCCCAATTTTGAACCATGCAGTGTTACCTTGCTCTGTTCTGACAACTGCCTCCTGGTCCAAGTATAGGTTTTACATAAGCACAATCAAGTGTCCTGGGATTCCCATTCTTTTCAGAGTCAGCCACAGTTTGTTATGATCCACAGAGTCAAATGCCTTTGCATAGTCAATGAAACACAGATAGACATTCCTCTGTACTCTTTTCTTTCAGC